ATATATATATATATATATATATATCTTATGGAAAAGATGATGTACGTGGGAACGGGAAGGGTCCTGGTATTACGGTTATTCATAACTGTATAAATGTACGTAACGGTTTCAACAACTCCATGCACAAAATTACAGGATAATGGACGAAAAATACAAAAACTATGGAGCTAAGAATACCCTTTTGGTGAGGAACAAGATATGAATATTAGGAATTTTGAAATATGTGTCTATGTGTTAGGACTATTTAGGATTCCCTTTTGGTGAGGAACAAGATATGAATATTAGGAATTTTGAAATATGTGTCTGTGTTAGGACTATTTAGGATTTAGTTAAGCTTATTTTATTACGTCTATCTTATAAGTTCATTATAAGGATTTATGCATCCAGAAATAGACCTAGTAATTGTATTTTTCACTATGGGGGTCAGAGAGTTGATGGGGGAAGCAAGCTTGTTTTCAATCTGCATCAACTGAAGCTACAAGCTCTCAAGTAAATGAGTAAGACTAAAATGAAGAACTGTATATCTTTCTATCTAATTCAAGCTAGAAAATGCAATTCAAAAACTGTAAACTATTTAGTAAGAACTCGAGTAAATTCAAGATGGAAAAGACGTGTCAATAAAAAATTGAAAACTATGATGAAAAGCTTCTATCTCTTATTATATGAGAGATTGTGGTCAAAATTTTTGCTCTTCATTTACTCATAATCTGCAAACAAATTATTAAGGTATCCAAAAAATATATATGTATATGAATGGGACCTATGATTCTTCAGTCTGACCCTCTGAAACGGTTTCCTCTTCCTTCTGGTTTTCAGTTTCATCAACATTCTTTTCACCGGCATTCTTTTCACTAAATTTTAGACGAAGTGGTCGACCCATCAATTCCTGCACAAGGAAGACTTGGAGGTTGGAATACTTCTCCTCAAGCAAACATAAAATACCAGCAACTAAATTCATGCACTTTTATGCGGCTTGTCTAATGCCACTTGAGGCCAAGTGGTTGGGTGCGTGAGTGTGTGCAAGTGTCCTGGTTTCGAATCTTAGTGGTTGATTGGTATAAGGAGTCTGAACCTAGAATCATGATTCCGGATTTAAACTAATGTTTGTTTACAAAAAGTAAAAAGTGGTTCTGATATGACTCACCCAGAATCAGTGTTTGGTTTGGATGATTCTGATTCAAGGTTTGAACCCTGATGTGATGTTTTAAACCATGAATCACCCATGATTCTAAAATCACCCACCCCCTTGATTTTGGGTGGTTCAAACCCATGATTTTGGTTCTAGTTTCACAACCATGATTTAGACCCAAAATCATGAATCATGGTTCTAAGTTCCAAAATCAAAACTAGAATCACCTGATTTGAACTCTCGTACCAAACGAACCCTTAGTGGTTCCATTTCTTATTAGTAAAGTGGGAGAGCTATAGGCCCCCACACATATAAAAATAAAAAATAAAAAAAAAATTGCGAGTTGTTTAACTGAAGAAGGGCATAAGCTGGACTTTGAATGCACATAACATGAACGTAATGTTTGCTTGGACAGTAGGTAAGTGTGTCCGTATCTGTCCCACGATCCCCATGGAAACGAGCACATAGGGAACCAATACAAACACAATGAACTGAAGTGGGTATCAAATACGCCTGCATCTGCGTCTGACCTTTATGAATGGATGCAATTCATGGATAATTATCATCCATAGTATAGCAATCCAGAGAAACCCTTATTGGACATATTTCCTGTAAAGCATTCCCAAAGTTCTAAAAATATGCATGCACGTGTAAATGTTTAAGGTGACAAAACACAAGTAATGTTACGTTGCTCACAAACACAACATAGGTCAGTTGAATCCATCAATCTAAATTCAGCATCACAAATTTTAGGAGAGCAGTTGACAAAAAGAAAAATGCTGGAAAGATAACCTATTTTATTTACCTTCCCATCCAAAGAAGATATGGCAGCCTCTGCTTCTTCCCTTGTGGCGAAAGAGACAAACCCATACCCAGCAGATCTTCCTTTAGGACCATCAAAGACAACCCGGGCTGAAACTGGTTTAAAATTTTCAGAGACAAAATCTCTGAGATGGGTCGATCTCACTTTCCATTCAATATTAGACACATAAAGCTTATGGGTTGTCTCTCCAGGTTGGGGGCCAGGAGGGCGTGGTGGAGAAGGTTTCTTGAACTGCTTTGCAAGTTCTATCTTAATAATTCTGCCTGACACGTCCTGCACCAAATATGTTAGGAGATCCATACAAAATCAGAATGGAAAACTGGTATCTTAATTATCATATTTCAACTTAATGATTACTCTTTCTATTAACTGGAGATCTGCAAATACCATACAAAGATCTTCTCAACATACAAGTGTCGTCATTATTGAATAGGATAAGAAACCACAAAAACTTCTCAAGACTCAAATGTAGCTAAATCTTTCAAACTGCGATCATTTATATTACCAGAAAACTACCAAAACTTCTAAATTTTCATCAGTAGATAAATCTTCCAAATTGCTTTCTTATTTTTTGAACCCCAACTGCTAAAACTTCCTAATTCTACGTTTCGCGGCATTCCAATTATGAGCGACAGAAAATGCCTTAAGAAAGGGAACCAATTTGGTCCAAGAAAAAACTCATAAAGGCACCTAGAAATTTTCTCTAAAGTACAAGCAATTATCAAGCTCAAATAAAATGACAAGTCACAAATGGTACTGAATCATCAAAGTGAAACAAAATATAGGCGCCAAAACTACAATTAGCTATGAACTATTTTTTTTTTTTACCATAACTTTCTCTTTCTTTCCTAGAAGAATATCAATTGGAATATAACATATTCATACCAACAATCTTCCAAATAAAAATACAACTTGAAAAAAGAAATTAACAAACTATTCTAACAAAAGGAAATAAAAGCAAAAACTTCATGGCTAGCTCTAAACTAGAATAAATTATTCATGGAACAAAGAAAGAATCCATTTTTGGACAAACAAACACAAACCCTAAAACCAAAAAAAAGAACAAAAACAAAAAACAAAAACAAAAACAAAAAACAAACAAAAACAAAAACAAAAACAAAACAACAACAACAACAACGTTACCTGAAGATTGAATCTATCAATGACCGCCTGAGCTTCCTCCCCACAAGCCATTGTCACAAAGGCAAACCCTCGGTTCCTTCCATCTTTCTGCTTTATAATCTACACAAACCCATTTCAACATTACATAAAACCAAACCAATATCATCAAAGACTTGGCAGTAAATGGCCTTTTTTAGGGCTTTTTTCAGTAAATGACCGAAGTTATGTCAAAATGAAGGAAATGATCGTTTTTTTTTAATTAACTTTAGATTATTATTGATTAACTTTTATCACTTATTAATTTTAGTTTCACTGATTCACTCCGTAATTTACACTAATTTAGTTATTGATTATCAATTTCAATCAACAAATTATAGATTTATCAGTGATCAATTATTGATAAATTGATAATAAACAAAGCGGTCATTACTCTCCGAAAAAATTTCGGTCATTTGTCTAGAAAGAAAAAAGGTTCGGCCTTTTATTAAAAAAAAAAATTGTGACCTTTCATTTGCCTAAATTTCTTTAAAAAAAAAAAAAGAAAAGAAAACACCTCAACATCAGTGACGGTTCCGCACTGGCCAAAGAGGCTTTTAATGTCGACAACGGTGAGCGACCATGGGAGATTGACGACATAGAGCTTCCTCTTCTGGTTGTTCTCCTTCTCCAAATGGGTTTCTTCCGCTTTCTCTTGTACGGCAATTTCCTGTTCCTGCACCGAAAAGCACAGCCGGAAGCTCCATGGATTTCGAGTGGAGGACTGAAGAAAAGAGCAAGAGTTTGCAGAATGGAGCTTCAAGGAGTGAGTTCGGGTTCTGGGGAATGAGAGTTTGGTAGTTGATAATGAAGATGATGATGAAGAAGAAGGAGAAGAAGAGTAAAGTAGGCAGAGACGGAGAGAGAGCACAGCTTCTAATGCCGCCATTGCTTAGATTTTTTATTTGAAAGAGAGGATTTTGGATAAGAGTTGAGAGAGAGAAGATAGGCAGGTACAGGAGTTGTCATGTTTTTTAATTGGAACACTTCTCTATTTATTTCGTAAGAAAAAATAGATAGAAGAGGGTGTTAAATAGAGTTTATTACAGTTATTTTTCAAACGTTATCCTCTTTTTACGACAAGGGTCACTTTCTCACAACATAATAACAAATAATTTCTTTCAATCTTATTTACAAGAGTGCTATTGGTTTTTTTTCTCCAAATCTGACTGACTATATATTTGATTTGAAAAAAAAAAAAAGATTTTTAACACATTTGTCTCTTAAATTTATCGTAATTTAGTAAATTACTTTTTTCATTTTTAATTTTAATAACTTGTCCTCTCAATTTATAAAATTATTACAATATGCTCTATTTAATGATGATTGTGTTAAATTAGTGTCAAAAAAACACGCTTAGTAAAAAATTTTAACATTCAAATTCAATTGTAACACTAATATTTCAATGTCTCAACTTTTACTCCTTTAAATCTAATAAAAATTTGAACAAATTTAGTTAAATGAGGCACATTGCAATAAATTTATAAGTACAAGAGATAACTTATCAAAATTAAAAATTTAGGAGACAATTTATTAAACCACGACAAACTCAAGAGGCAATTGTGCTGTAAACTGAAAAAAATGTGAGTAACTAATTACATATCATTTATATAAATATATATATATTTCTCCAGCTTTTCTTCTAATTCTTTGCTGTCGATGTTTTTTTCCCTTTCGTTTTGCCTAGAGATGCAACAATGGGCCAGGGCCCGTAGGCCGGGCCAGGCCCATCCTGATATAGTGACGGGCCGGGCCAGCACGGCCCATCACTGTTCAAGGCACGGCCCAGCCCATAATATTGGTGGGCTGGGCTGGGCCAACATATATCGGCCCATGGGCCAAGCAGGGCTTAAGCCGGGCTGGGCCAACCCGTCTAGGCCCATGATGGTCCGGCCCGTCTAGGCCCATAATGGGTCGGCCCAGCCCAGCCTATTTAGGCCCATAATATCTTCATATTTTTTTTCTTTTTTTTTAGTAATTTTGTCAACATCTTATGTATAATTATCCTGATTGTACTCTTTTTTTCTTACCAAGGCTTTGTCCCACTAGATTTTCCTTATAAAGGTGTTTATTTAATGAGGTAATCGTAAATAAAATATCTCTTTTTATATTTTCATTGACTATTCAAACTTATATATTTATTAACTTGTTTAAAAATAAAAAAATTAAAAATTGCATGTTTAGATGGGCTGGCCCATCTAGACCTATGATGGGCCAAGATGGGCCAGTCCATTCAAGGCCCATGACACAGCCTATCCTGACCCGCGGCACGGCCCAGCCTGGCCCGCGGCACGGTCTAGCCTGGTCCACGTAAAATTAGCACGTGGTGTGGGCTGAGCCGAGATCATTCTTATACGGGTCGGCCCGGCCTGGCCCACGAAATTTATGGGATGTGCCGGCCCAGCCCGCGGCCAACGTGGGCCTAAGGAGAACGGGACAGACCGGGCCGGGCCGGCCCGTTCTTACATCTCTAATATGTGTTATACAACTAGCGCTTATTTTTTTTTTTTGGCGTTTCGTGTATATATTACTTGCTTCAGCAAAATGTATATATCACTGGTTGACTTTTTTTTTGAGTTGTTGCACTTTGCCTTACAAACTGATATTTTTCCACAGTTGTTTTTTCTCTTTATCTATGTTAATTTCGTTAATATGTGTGTGTATATATACACACAATTATTTATAGGCTTCCTAATTAGTATCGATTATGCATTGAATCTTTTTTTCTTTTTTTCTTCTATTATAAGTAATAATGAACTTGAATGGATGCACAACGAAACTATTGAAGATATAATAGATTTCTCACTTAGATTAAGGAATGGCATTCCTATAAATACGTTGAAAGAAATAGGATGTTATTAAGTTGGTTTATTTGACAAAGTGAGATTGCCACTTGCCAATAGTAGCATATGAAAAAGAGTTTATAACAGAGTCTATTTAGCACTCCTCTAGATAGAAATACATAGGATGCGTTTGTTGTGTATTTTTTTTCCGTTTAAGTTTTTGAAAACGTTTCTACACGTTTTATGAGGCATGAAAACGAAAATAATCTGTAAATTGTGTTTAATTAGTAAATGTTTTGAAAACGAAAACATAAAAGACAAATCCTCTGTCTAATTTATAAACGATTAAAAGTTATTTTCATTTTCTAGTACTTATTAATAGTCGTATATTAAATATTTAATTTTTAATTATATAAAATATTAGTTAATAATTAATAAATAAATAGTAATTAATAAATTATCAATTAAATATTAATTT